CTTCGCCATGCTGTAAGTCTTAAGCCAACCTCTTATCTAATGTGCTGACTATTTTTGGACTCTGGTCGTCCAATCGCATATACATGCTACTTATTTTTTTGTATTTCCTATGCTGTGTTGAAGCTTTCACTGCTTTCCTTAATAATCTATTTATTTTTTACTTAATTATTCTTTTAGCTTACTTGAAGCAACGAAAAATAAATTCGTTATTCATGCATGTTGCTATGGCCTATTGGTTTCATTTTATAAGCATCTTCAGCAGATCAGATCACAGCTAAATCAGTTCTCAATAAATCAGTATTTATCTTAGTAGTTTCCTATTATTTTGCATTTGTCCAGTATTGACAATCTCAATTCGTTTTATCCTATAAACAGGGTTTGCATGCTCATACCAATCAGACAACAGAGAAAGCTATTTTAGGAGAAGTGCTCTCAATGCTGTCAAAGACGCGCTGGTTTGTTCAGCATGCTCTGGACAAGCAGGACTGGGTGGAAGCGGCCTCAACTAAGCTTGCTGGTTTTTTCAAGACGCCCCTCCTTGGCTATCCACGTCCACCGGATGCTAATCCCAAGCTTGATGAGGTAACGCGGTTCGTTCGAGACAGTCAGGCTGCTGACGAGGAACGACTGTCCGCCGTTGACTACATCCTGGGTATGCATAGTTTAAAGCTTCTTCTTAATAACTTGCTAACATCAAAGAGCCGCTATTACATAATGTTTCTGATTCATTTATGTGGCACCGTTCTATTTCAAATTAATTAACCTAATATAAATTTGGCTTTTGGAAACAGTATGAATCTCGTTTTACAGTGCAGCTTCACCTTTTGGTTGGCGTCTTAGCTCTCTTGGTTCGTTTTGCTTCATTGTCATGTATTTTAACTAACCCTTAAAAGTTCATGATTAAAAGTGCTATGCTTGATTTTTCACCTCTATCAACGTTTGCATCACTTCGAATTTAGATATACATATTTAAAATGTTGAAGAATCATTTGAGCGCACTTCAGAACAATTGGTTATTCCTGAAACCAATGACATTGAATCTGCTTTTATTGTAGATTTAAAAGATTTTTACTTTTCTAACTTGCTCACATAACAATGGTGTAACCATTCCGCTTCGTGCGACGAGATAAGGACCCAAATTACGGTAAAGCATAACAATAAGGCTATTTTCATTTTGAGATGTATTTATCCCATTTCGTGATTGTTGAATTTTCCCACAGTGATTTGAGTAGACCAACGTTTCCATCGTATTTTACATAGCCTAGCTTTTTCAAAAAGTATTCTTATCCAGCATAGACGGCAACTTAACGGCAACTCAACGGCAACTCAACGCTCCCAGCGGGACGCGAGCCATGACAGAGCAGTGCATAATCTCGACATGCTGAATACTATACCACATTGCCACTAATACCATTGGGTCACAGGGCAGATGTGAATTTTAAGGAAGATTAGGCATTTTCTAATATTTAATTCCTTGATAGAATTTTCATTTCTACTGACCTTGCTTAGTGATATCTAGATCAAAGTTTTCTTATGAAGAGTAATTGCTTGTTTTTACATTCACGGCTCTTCTGGTTCAGCCACATGCTTAATAACTCACTCTTGAATTTGTAAACCTTATTCTTATGCCAATAAACTGCTGTTTCGACTTACCAACGGGAATCAATACTAAAGTGTATCTTACTGCTCGAATAAGTTACCCTAGTCAAACGAAATCATTTCTTACATGATTTTAATAGCTAGGTCCGAATCTTCATTCAGTATGGTTTGCTCAACTATCGAGCCTTTTGATCAAAATGGTCTTCATTGCCAAAAGTCTTTATTCCCTACTTTATGTATCCATAGGTAAGTCATAATATTAGTTTTATAGGTTATAATGCTACATTATATTACTACTAATTTAATAAATTTACTATCTCGGCAGATGGCCTGTAAGGTCGCGGTCTAATATTGTAGGTCAATATTTAACCTTGATATTTAAATAGATTACTTCGGATGGTTATTGCAGCACCCATTTGTGATATAAATCTAATATTTTCAATCATTTAAACTATTATGTCACTAATACCAAGCTAATATTTGCTCACTTAACGAGCTTCGGAAATTCATATTTTATCTACAGGCTTTCTCAAATATTCCTTTTTGATTAGCAGCTTGGGCAAATCTTCTGTTGCACATTAATAAAAATTTTGTTAGGTGATGTAATCTTTCATTTTTGCATGACTCACACTTGGCCCTAAAGCGCCTGACAACAATCATATGATTTTATGAAGTCGGGAATTTACAATTACAATATAGCGGTGATAATGCGTGACTACTTGGATTCTTAAGGTATGCGAACGAATTTTATTTTACAATGTCTGAATTTACAAAAAAGGGATTATCGCTTTTATCGGAAACATGAGGCCTACTCATATCATTGAGAAATTTAACTACTATTCCTTAATCATCTTAAACGAAATAGGGTGAATACATATATATGATGTGTTGATAGTCACGAAAATTGATTATACCTGAACTACAATAC